GGAGCTGGAGGGCGAGGGGCGGGCCGCGGCGCCGGCGACGCCCTCCGCCTCCTCCAGCTCCCCCTGGAGCTCCTGGCTGACGCTGGTCTGCAGGGCGGCGGGCGTGAGCCACTCCTTGGGCAGGCAGCTCTGCAGGAAGGGGATGCAGGAGCTGAAGTAGGCCAGCCGGTTCACCCAGCGCGGGATCTCCCTGCCGCACAGGATCTGAAACACACAGGGCACAGGCCTGTAGCGGTAACAGAACAACCTCCCGACAAGCTGCAGCCCGGCTGTCACAGTCCTGTCGCCCTCCCACAGGGTCTGCCGCCTGCTGAGCCAAGATAAAAAAGGTGAAAGGTCATTCTGTGCCATCTATCAGCGATTTACGGACAACACTGGCTGGAAGGATATTACGCAACGCACATTATGCAAAAATAAAGGACCAGATGATACAAATTACCCTTCAGCTAATTCTGCACAAAAACAAAATGTCATTTTTGTACAATCACACACACAAAATTAAACAATTCAAGTGTATACCACATGTAGTTTATACTTATACCTAAACACACAATACCCGGCACGCAATCAAGTGCATCCCTTTCCCCATCCCACACTTATTCCTGGAAATGTCCATTCGTGGAGTCACTCCAGATGGCAGGCAGTGGTATCTGGCCTCTCGGAACGTCTCTGTCTCACAAGCGCCGGACACCACGCCCCAGCTCTGCCCCGGGGAAGGGGTGCCCCCCTGGGGAACTCCTCAGCAGTGATTAAAGTGCACTGCATACTTCCTGGGATCTGAGAGTCTCTGTGGCTTCGGAAAGCTCACTATCAATGGCTCCACGTGTCAACTTGAGTTAAAAAAACCACGTGACACCACAAATCCAAAAAACGAAAGGAAAACCCAATACAACAGTATTTCCTCTATGAGAAGAATCGCTTCAGAAAAGGTGCTTAGCAACACATTTATAAGCCCATGACCGTACTCTGCGGAGGAAAAAGCTGACAGTTCTGGGGTTTTTGCGAAAGAGCCAGTAATTAATGTAGCAAAGCTGGCATTATCCAAACCCGCAGTGATGTTGACTCCAGACAGGCATTAGTGTCTCCCTCTGCTCTTGATACACCAGTGAATTTTCAAGAACTCCAACATCATCCTTAGTGCTGTTTAAACAGACATAAACTAAAGGCGCTGATGAAATGGCAATGTTGGTTTTGTGACCGAATCCATCAGAAATGTAAGCTGCACTCTGTGCTGTGCCTTGGAGTCCTCTCTGTTATGTAGGTGTTAAAACAGCCTGGGCACAGCTTTAATATTATATAGCCTTAATATTAATACTCTGTCTCTGTACTGACTGCTTCATAAGCACATCAACTGTGCCCAAAGTTCTTACTACATCAAATGTCTAATCTGGAGCAAGTATGCGTTTTTGATCTGCTGTTAATTCTACCAGTAGGAGAAGTTGTATCAGAATTAATTAGCAATTCTCATTAGTAATTCTAATTGATTAGTGATTAGAATTTAGAATGGAATCAGTTGAATTTGTCGGATTCTGCTGGTCTGGTCTTGTTTCTGACTTTCAGAAGAAGTACAGGGTCTGGTGCTGCTCCAGAGGGGCTCGGCTCTGCTCCAGCTCTGCCTTCTTTTCCTAGAGCATAGGGTGTGAGTGAGGAGAGGACAAGAGAGGAACGGACCAACATCTTCCAGGCAAGAACAAAACGTAGGTACCAAAAACCAAAAACACTTTCCACTGCAAACCTTGCAATTGCGGTCCAAGAACAAAAGAAGGTTACAAACAAGAGCTGGCCATTCGACCCACTGCTCTTCTCTGGTTGCTAGCTGATGACTGAATACTGAAAAAGACTTGGGACAAACAGCTAATATTGCAACTCATTGGTGACAAACTATTTTTACTGTGTTTTTTTAAAAGGAAATATGTCACACTGTTAAATAACAGAGGCAGTGCTTGCGCAGAGCACAGAATTTAAAACCCTGAACTGTGCACTGCACATGGCAAGGTGGCATCGGTAACATGCATGCACAAGGAAGCAGATGTGTGCTGTCACGTACCAGGGCAGAGCACAGGCATGTCTACAGTGCGTCCTGCGGTGATCAGAGAGTCGGGCTCCTCCGGTAATCTCACATGCTCCGCGAGAATCCCTTCAGCGGATAAATTCCCTTCTCACAACTCTCTCTGCCAACACTGGAGTTGTGTCTGCACAGTTGCACACAAAGACCTCAACCATGCAAACAACAAGGGCTGAAGTTGCATTACCCTGAATATACTGCTCTCCTTATGTGCATCCAAGCATTTTCGAGGTCAAGTGAATACCCGAAGGAAACAAGCCTAAATTTTAACACTAACCATGTTTCCAAGGGGATATTTACATGGCATGTTGTGTTTATGACATTTGAAGCTTCAGATGATTTCTGAGTGTTTTGAGAGCTGTAACACAGTGCATCTCTACTGTCAGATATCCAGGGAGCACGGCCTTCTGCGGCTGGCCATGTCTCGGGCAGTGCTTTCCTGCACACAGACGACAGAGCCCCCACAGGGACCCCACAGTGGCCCCAGAGACCCCTGTTCAGCGACGCCCTGCTCTGAAACTCCTCATGGAGAGGCACCCGCTTGTTTGTAAATCCAAACAAAGCACAATCAGAGTAAAATGTGACACATTGTAAAAGAAAAGCAGATGTGGATCTGAAGTGTAAGTATCAATATTTAGGCTTTTTCACAAGGTGAAGAAGCTGAAGCTTATAAGGGAGAAAAGGACAAGACTGAACACACGGGCGTTCAGGAGATAATTCGTCGCAGCTAAAAAACTTTAATTTGGGGATGAGATATGGAAAAAATACAATTCTGTGATACAAGAATTGCCTTTCCCCCCTTGTTAGATCTCACTGTCCCTCTGCTTTGGATTTCATAGTTTGCTGAGAAACGTTTCACAGCAAAGCACAAAGAGAGGAAGACGAGTCCCAGTCTTATATTTTTAGGTTTCTTAAGAATAATCTTAAAAAACGAATCCCATTGGTTAGAAGGGCTTCTGACAGAGAACTCCAGTGCGAGCCAGTGAGAGGACTGCTGAACGGTATTCTTGCTACGACATTGCCAGCACACACCCTCTACTTCACTTTCTGGGTTAATCCTTCTCAAGTCCGCTCATGACTCCCACAGCACAGCGAAACAGAAATTGCTCCTGAATCTTACAGGAAATCCCAGCTGTGCACCTGTCAATTGAGATGCCTTTAAACCTCAGTAGGAAGCAGGTTTTGAACTGTATGGCTGTAAACCAGCATAATGCATAATATAGCACAGATGTTGCAGAGAATAAGTGATCTGTGCACATGAAGATGACTGCAATTTTAATTTGCTACCTGTCTCCCACAAATGGGGTTTATACTAAATATGAACTTGATAGAGTTATTTAAAAAATACCAAAAAAACATGAATGGTATTTCACATTAGGACATGCTGATTAAGCCTTTTTCTGTAATCAGAAACCTGCTCATATCTGTAAGAACACAAGAAAGGTAACAAACAGGAGGAGCCAGTCGGTCCCCCCAGCGTGTCTCGAAGTTAGCAGCTCTCTGATCCAGCTGTTTGATGAAAGAAGCCATGATATCGGCTTCAACAACGTGGCTGGGTAGCTGGTTCCAGAGTAGCTTTCCTTTCTCTTGGGTCCTTTGCTTCACGTTTCCATGTTCATTCTCGAGCAGTCGCTGGGTTGACTGTCAGGACCTTTGAAAATGGTGAAGAAGTGTAACGGGTCCCCTTGTGGTCTTCTCCATTTAACATTACTGACGCTACAGCGCCTCCAGCCTCTCCGTGAAGCACATTCCCTTAAGTCCCAGAACACATCTGGCTGCTCCAGAGCAGCAATATCTTTTCTATCATGTGGGAAGCAAAACTGTCCACAATATCCTAAGTGCGGCTCTACTAGTGTGTCATAGTTTTAAGTTTTCTTGATTTAAATTTGATGCTTTTAATTATAGATCCTACCACTTTGCTTGCCTTTTTTAATTGCCTCCCTACAATGTCTAGACAAAGTAAATAAGAGAAGAAATGCTCCTATCTCACTGTTTTCTGTTTTCTATTTTCTCCTATTGCTCTCTTCATGAAAAACCCTGCCTTTGTCTACATGAAACGTCATGTACCCATATTCTGTACTCAAGTAACCACACTGCAACGCTCAGCGCAGCCACTGGAACAAACCCCCGAGAGGACACTGCGAGATCTGGAGGAGGCAAAGAAGCAATCGGCCTCTTATTTAATTTCTTCACTGGGAATGTGCTTTCGGTGGCGGGATGCTCTTAATGGGAGGAGTACAGGTAATGTAAATCTGTTGCCGGATCAGATTTCTGTGATGCAAAGATTTGCTCTGAGGAATGTTTTAAATGGACTGAGCTTTGCTTCTGCCTTTCAAAGTTACCTTTAAAACAATTATGTTATTTATTATTACAGGTACACTGCCTCCTGCCTTCCCTTTGGAACAAGTGAAGCTTATTAAAAAAAACATTTTACATTTTAACAGCTTAGTATTGGACACATACAGGCTATAGTTAAAGTCAGAAATTCCCCAATTACACAACTGGAGGAGCAGTGAGATGAAAATACTAAGATGGCAATTAGATAAAAGCACACCAAGTCCAGCATTTGCACAGCTAATCACTTTTAACCAGGACAAAGTAATAGGACACAATCACTAACAGTAAGGGAACTTCCTGCAGATATTTATCCGTCTTCACAACACAATAAAAAAAGAACACCAAGAGACAAGTAATTGTACAGATGAACTGTACACAAAGTTTCGTGTTACTAAGCAGGGCCTTTCCGATAATTACCTTCATCTGAAATTCCTCAATCTCCATGAAACGGATACGGAGTATGTTAAAAAATGTTTATTAATGCAAATACCAGAAGACAAACCCTCTCGGAATGCGAAAGTGCTGTACGACAAGTTTCCAGAGCTCTCACTGGTGGATCCAGAGAAGATGTAAGCACCAATTTAGCACAGTCGTCTGGCCAGACAGCACAGACTCCTCTCTCCTGGCCCTGTCTGCAGTGTAATCACAGCCCGCCGATTACTGTGTCGAGATCCCAGTCTTGTCTGGTTCTGCAAAGCTGGGCATGCTTCAGGACATTCTTTTGTACCTCTCTCTTTTTTCAGCTAAGGTGTACGGCTCACCTGATAATCCAGGGTTAGATTAATCTTCCGTATCTGATGACACCTGTCAGTTACAGCAATGCAGTGAAACTGATTTAGAAAATCCACCTGCCCCTACCTGCATGTATTTCACTATCCTGGTACTGTACATTAAAATGTTTTCACTCATTTATCATATACACAGAGTGTAGCCACTATACCTAAGCTACTATGTACCGGTGAAATAGGTTGCATCACTGAACATAACTCCATATCTCTCTTCTTCAAATTATTTTAATTTTAATTAAATGAAAATGAGTCATGCTCGGGACACAATAAATCACTTCATCATATTTACCACCGACGCATTTGCATTTAAGTTTAGATACGTGTTTAAACACATGCAATTGTGTAAAAGGTTAACAGACTTTCTCCTCAGTTCTCTACAGAAACCAGAGGAGGAAACAATAAAGAACCCATCTCTCCCTAACCAGAGCTGCCCAAGCCTGGTGTTTTCCAGCAGTGTCCAAGCCAAGCCTGTGATTAACTCTGCAGCAGGAATCCAAACACAAACAGCCAGAGAGATTAACCCAGATCTGCCATTCCAGCAGTGCAACGGGCATCGCTTGGTTCACATGCCTTCCAAGTCAGAAAGGTGGATGCATAATACATATACATTCCTATTCAAGTTCTTAAAAATAAACCAAGTCTAAACCAGAGACCAAGGTCTTAAACAGAAATGTTCAATAAATAAATCCAAAATAAAAAGATCAAGTTTGCTCTCCAATAAGAAAATAAGTAAAATATTTAAATTATGAACCTGAATTGACTTGCTGAACACGAACAACTGATTTAATCTGAAATTCCCTGCCAGTGTGCAGTTCAGTAATACTGCCTTACACTGCTTCAGTGAAGATCCCCAGTGACCTATACCTGCCGTGTTAGACACAAAATGCAGCCTTTTGTTTAAAACGCTGAACTAAAAACGAGTTCAAACTGGAACACACCTCTTCGACAGGCTGCCTACACGCTTATCACATAGTACCAGATTTTTTTAATGTAATTTTTTTGAATGAATTTTTGTAAAACATGTTATTTGGAGTTTAAATACTTTGCTTTATTCTTTCAGATTAATAAGAGAGCAGGGAGGGCACATTCTGTTGCTGGATAAGACCACCTTAATTCCCTGTTAAACGCAGAGGTTTCCCACACTCCTGCACTCCTGAAAGCAGGAAAAAGTGCCCCAGGCTTCGCAAGAAAATTCCACAGAACACAGCTGGAGCAAAAGTTCAGAACTGTACTGCTGCTTTCCAGCCTTTCTCCAGCCGGAGACAGAGCTAGTTCCTTAATGCACTTCTAAATCTGGACTGAAACAGCGGTACAGTCCAGTGGTCTTGGCCGACAGCACTGCTGGTCCCTATGCCTTCCTCTCCTTCCTCCCAGCCGGGTGGAGACACGCAGTCTGGCTGCCGGCGGGGGGACTTACCTCCGAGAGAGCCGAGGAGAAGTGGTTACAGTTCTTGTGCATGAGGTGGTAGGCGTTGCCCTTGTACTCTTTCCCCAGCTCTTCCACAATCTTCTCAATGTCATCCTCCGTGAAGTCGGTGCTCCCCAGCACAATGGCTTCTCTGAGAGAGACAGAGGCGGAAGAGAGGGAGCAGGAAAACGCATCAGGCTTCGAGTGCACAGCATTCGGATCGCTTCAAGCCCCTCGCAGCCCAGGCTGTCACGCAAATTGGGCAGGCAAAGCAGAAAAACAACCTGGTTAACAATGTCCTTGTTAAGGCAGAGAAAAGCACCTCAGATAAAGTAGAAAGCTTAAAACACGATGCTCCTGCTGCTGGGCATAGGTGTCTGAGTGGAACAGATCAAAGTGCTGTGGAAGGGGTCTCTGATGAGAGCTCTGAGTTTCTGTGTAGCAGAATGACACTAATGATGACTGCATGGACCCTTCATATATTTCTAATTGGCTTTCTGTAGAATAGAGGGTGAGCCTTTGGACTCATTATTGACAGGTAATGACAGGTATGAGTGGGTTCGGGTCCCTGCTGGTGTGCCTTGAGTGAGGTATTGTACCCCAGTTGCTCCAGGACACCCAGCTGTATATTTGGGGACCAGTATGGCTGAGAGGCGATCCCTGTGACGGACTGCGGTCTCATCTGGGGGGAGAGTCACATGTGCTATAGTCCACTCAGCAGTACAGAATCTAGATCGAGGCACTGTTGGGTCTGGGGCCGACTTCACCTTTTCTTTCAGCTCCCAGTGCACGAGGAGCAATCGGGGGATAATGACGGCACCCACATTGGGCCTGATAACTTAAGAATTTTCTTTCTGACAAAAGTTCTTGAATGTTGATTTGCCCTTGTTTACAGGAAGTCTCCAGGGCTGAAAAGTGAAACAGCCAAGTGCCTCAGGGCTGCCTGTGAGTGTCCTGCTGCAGGTGCTGGAAGTTATAGCTCAGATCCATCGTTTTCATCCTCACCGTCGAGTTCCTGATCACTCAGACTATAAAAGCTGATGCCACGTGCCTGTTTGAACACATTCGATCTCCACGGGGGCAGACAAAAAAAAAAAAAGAACAGCCCACTCAACCCTGAAACACACGGACACACTCCTCACAGCAGGGCACGAGGCCGCTCACGTGGCCTGACTGAATTACCCAGCTGCCTTGGCTGAGCACAAGGGGGCAGATTCTCGGCGCTGCGTGCCAAACTCCTCTCCTTTTTCCTTTTTAACGCTCCAGATACCCGAGGTTACAAGGTCTGAGTCTGGGAGAGATGCAGAACACCACGCACACAGCACAGACAGGAAAGAAAGATGGATTCCACCTGCCAGAAACAAACTGCTCTTTGTTAATATACAGCTTTTTAAAAATAATATATTGGTATGTATCCATCCTCCAGACCAGACATTGACCTGGACACTCCCTCGAGTATAGGGTTTATGTGCACTTGTTTGCATGAAGATAAAAATCGATTTAGTCGAGAGAGAAAAAAGCTGCTGTTAATGAATGATTTAACAGTATTTGTACTTTTTTTGTCTCTCTGATAATTGGGACCAAAAGCGAGCTCTTCAAACTTAATCCAAAGAGAGCTTTGTCCCCTGTTTTAGGAAAGCTATCGTAAGCATTTAAAGAGGTAAAAGACAGCATGCAAACTAAAACATAATTCTGGAAAAATAAATGGGGTTTATTTGAAGGGATGAAAAACTAATTCTGCACCAACGCAACTATTATCTGATCTATTCACAGATAAGAAACACTATCCTGTATTGGTTGCTTCCCCCTAATGTGTGCAACATTCATTCTCACCCTTTTTCTGGCTCTGGGTCGTTCCCAGCACGATTCAGGAATCAGCCTTTGCATTCACTGATTCACTTTACTGCTTGGGATGAATTAACGGCAAATTCGACTGCTCTGAAGAAACTACTTTAGTATTAACATTTCAACCAACTGGTTGCTGTTGAGAGCAGCAATGGCTCTGGAAGCCCCCACTGTGGCTCCTACCAGCACTTCTCAGTGATACTGCAGCTGGAATAGAAGAACACTGGCTCCTCTCTGTCCTGGCAGGGACATTAAAGCACAGCTTTTATCATGGAAGTGCCAGTAACACGCAGCTCTTATTTGCATAGAGAAGAGTTTTCCCACTATAAAGAGCAGTACTGCAGACCTCCTCTGCTAGCACATTTCATACTGTAGAGAAACCAACCAACACTTTCAGAATAATGTAGGGTGCACTAGAGTCAGGCTATTAAGTGGAGAAAAAATATTTCAAGCCCATTTAAACATTATTTTGATATGACAATGTTTATAAAATTTCTATAATGACAAAAAAGCCATTCACCACCCCCCCCAACAAATGTGCACAGCAATTGATTTAGTAATAAGTGTACTTTTTTACATTTAATTAATATTTAAAAAAAAACAAGCATACAAAAGCAGGGATTTGATCTAAAGTGTTCGAAAACCGCGCTTTCTCCTTCAAGCCCACCCTGCTCCCAGTACTCACTTGAATTTGAAAGTGTCTCCGAGATCCGTCGCATCCCCAGGAGTGATTTCAAATATCCCTGAAAACGGGTAGGGGTGGCCGCCGTAGGCGAATTCTGGAGGGACAAGACAGGCAGCCAATGCAGCAAGCGACAGATCTCTTTGTTCAAACAGGTATCTTCGTTCTTTGCGTTTTACTGCGGCAGGGTCATTGTTCAGTATTCCCCATTCAAGTTCAGCAGCTCAAAAGGATAGGCAGGCCGCTGACTTCAGTTAAAAAAAAAAAGTCAAGTTTGAATAAAGTTACGGATGAGTACTCTTCAGCACAGGAAAAACCTCTTGACAGAATCACTCCCCACTCTCAAACCAAACTGCCTTTTCCACTGCAGAAGTCCAGTGCACTCCCACTCAAACTCGCATGCAGGTGCTCCCAATTTCACCTATTCCCTTTGCAAGGACATCAGCATCTGCTTCAGGCCCTGCCTTACACACAAGGCTGGCCAGTTCTGCATCTGCTGTCTGTCACTCACAAGTTATGAGAAAGACTGCTCCTTAGGCAATGGCAGAAATTAAAATCCTTTCCTCTATATACATTAATTCAATTTCCTCTTATATTCACAAGCTTTTCTAAAAGATAACTGTGATATGATGTTTTACTATCCATTCTAAATCAGTAGAAAGGTACACTTCCCAAAATTTAGAGGGCTTCAACTTCTTTAATTCTTAAAATGACTCCACTTCCCCTGACGGTCCACAATCTGAGGCATTGATTGATGAGGTGCTGCAGCTCAACAGCTTGAAATTTCTAGAGCCATATCCCTCTGGTGCACTAATCTAGCCTGTCAGAAAGTAGTGTTAATTAATCAGGGTCCCTGCAGGGACAGACTGTGTGTCGCATACAAATCGTCACTAAGTCACACACAAACTTAACCACAGTCAGAGTACACCGGTTCACACATTAGTTGACAGGCCTACTCACGTTTTTACAGAGCAGTCTTAATTCTCCAAACCTTCAAAAGTATTATTGTGCTTTGTAGTGATAAACATACCTCTGATGGAATTTTAGGCTGTGTGTTCTCAACATAACGATTCTGTGCCAAAAAAGGCAATAACTTTAATTGAAGGTATTTTTTTTACCAAACTCACTGAACTCCAATTCCTACCACTCCTGCAGTTAAAGGTAAGTTACTGATAAAAGCCCATGAACAGCTGCACAGGTCTTTCCTCACAGACACTGCAATGTGATTGTTTCAGGAACTGTTTCACTGCTGCACGAACAGGAGACAGAGTTAAGGATCAATATCAATACACTTCTCCTCAGCAGGCAAAAGCCTCAGAAAGCTGAACTGCGGGTGAGAACTGTTTGTTTTCTCATGATAATGACCGTAAACACAGACAAGGACTCCTACTCCAAATTCTTATGCAAGAAAAGTGCCTGTTGAATCTGACACATCTACATTTACACTCAGATTAAAAAAAACAGATCTCAAAAAAATTAAATTGAATGGAGCATTACACTGTTCACAGATAAGTTCTGGACATTTTTCATCCTGATATATACTATAATACTGATGGAACTCTTAGCAAAAGCCATTACAGCTTTTCTTCAAGCCTCTGCTACTGCCAGAGACCTGCCTACGCTCAACTAATGAGAAACACAGATTTTAATTGCATTGTTTTTAAAAAGTGTGAATGCTATTTCATCTCAGTGACTCATTTCATTTTAATACATCATTAATTACAGTAAGAACTCTTACCTCTGCCATAGACTTCTATTCCTGAGTGAAAGACGCCAATTCCCAAAGAAGCAGTAAATTCATTGATCCAATACTGAAACAAAACAGAGTAAAGCTGGTTAACCTTTGAGCTCCTAAAACTGGAAGCAACCAATTACACGAGAAACTGTTCAATAGATAAGGCCTTATAACATCAGGTCATGTATGAGTTTTTGACAATTTGCAGAACCAAAAACACCTGCTTGAGAATTACAGTAGCTCCTCGCAATGGGGGAGTTTGTGAGTGTATCAGCTTGAACCAGTTCAAGGGGAAACTGCAACACTATCTTTATATTTCTGGGCTGGAAAGAATCTGCATTGCCGAGTGCATTTCAAACCACAAAGAAAGTAAAATTTACACAGTAACATGTAAAACCTCCAGTTTATATAATAAAATAGGCGTAAATTCCAGGTATGTGAAGCGCAACAAAACATCTGGTGACATGAAGTTGGCCCTATTACTTTGGAAACAAAGCAGGCTTGTGAATACAGCTCTTTAAACCCAATAGAAATATTGCTCTCAATTTCGAGATGGTTTTACCAACAAATAACTGCTTACTTGTCAACTCTGCAAGCAGATCACATTGGAACATTCCTGCGGTGAAATGTCTGCTGCAAAACATGTCCTTATTCGCTTGTACATCCAATATATTAGTCATTACAGAGACTAGTGAGCAGGAAGGGCCGCTTCACATCACAATTCTTGCAACCTCTTTGCAAGACTGGGCTTTGCGACATGGTGACTTACACTACTTTCACAAAGTTCACGATTGTGTGCTTAATTGGAAATTTGTAACATTTTCCTATACCGTCCATTAAATTTATTTTGTGACCAAGATATAATAACCGGTCTGGGAAATCGGGACTGCAGGTCGCCTTCAAGGCCCTTGCATTCCGATTCAGGTGCCGCAGGTTCGAGCCTGGGTCCTGCCACTCGCTGCAGTGACAGGGATTCTCCAGGCGGAGGCGCTGCCAGCTCAGAGGAACACCATCATGAAACAGCGACGCCTTCCCAGGAAGCCTTTCCCTCTGGCTTTTGGGGCTTGAAGAAGGAGGTGTCAGAAAAGTTACCGCGGGGTTAACTGGCTCGTGGCGGCCAAGCGCTTACAGCGACGTCGCCTTTTGATCCTTCGACGTCGGCTCTTCCCATCATTGTGAGGCAGAATTCACCAAGCGCTGGACTGTTCACCCACTAATAGGGAACGTGAGCTGGCTTTAGACCGTCGTGAGACAGGTTAGTTTTACCCTACTGATGATGTGTTGCTGCAATAGTAATCCTGCTCAGTACGAGAGGAACCGCAGGTTCAGACATTTGGTGCGTGTGCTTGGCTGAGGAGCCAATGGTGCGAAGCTACCATCTGTGGGATTATGACTGAATCCCCCCTAAATGCATCAGTGAGGGGCGCACCTCTCCTCCAATCAGTGCTGGTCCTCCTGTACGTTTCTATGGAACTTGCAGTGCACTAGCAGACTAATGTCTCAATGGGTGAGCCTGCCTGCCCTTGCTCTTCTGCCCTCTGTTTGCACAGGGGTCCCTGCTGAGAGTTAAGCTAAGGCAACTGCCGATCCCTACATGGGTGGGTATATAATCCGATATACCTTGTCATATCATCGGATGTGCAGCCCAGAATTAAACCGTAACCTCCACCAGTGCTCCGATCCTTTCCATTTGCCTGTTGCTCCTAAATCCAATCCAAACACATGAAAAGTTGCCATTAGGTACGGAGTTTGAAATTCGTGATTGGCTGAAATATTTGATCTAATTCAGGCCTGAGAAAAGTTACACAATGCGGACAAACTAGTCTGAGGTCCAGACTTGCTCGAGTGATTGTTAAAAGCCGCCAGTCCTGCCAGCAGTGCCCTTGGATACTTGGATAGAGATGACAGTGGTCCTCTTGAGGACTGTCTGCAAAGACAGAGTAATCGCAGCTCAGGGTGTTAACTGACCATTTCATGGGAGCACCATTCAGAAATGTCAGATAGTGTCTCTCCGGGGGCTCATACTGCTGGAGTGTGACAGAGTCCTGATCACCACACTGCTCAGAGGGCCACTGAAGAAGCTGGTTTTGCAGACACTGGCTTCAGTCAGGCTGTTTGAAACTAGAAGACAGTAGCCCTCTACCCCAGTGTAACCATGGAAACAAAGGACTGTAGTTTTACAAAAAGAAAAATATCTTTGGCCCCTGCACGGTAATGCTAGGTATGATGAAAGACTCATACACTTACTGACAAATTATGCTTGATTAAAGCCATCCGCGTGGAAATCTGAGAGCAATGTGTGGTGCAAGAGTGCTACGCTCACCTGTGACACATTCCTGGTCACATCAGCGTGTAGTCAAAACCATACTTGAGTTTACAGACAGCAAGGGGTTGTGCCTGTTAGACATTAAACAAAATCAGTCCTAGCCTTTGATCATCCAACAGCTCTCCTTTTCCTAAACTATGCTCCTTACCTAAAGCTATGCTTCAAGTGTCAAGAGGCAAACTAATAAAGCACAATGTAGTGGACAATTTCTACGAAGGAAGGAATTTCATAACTACACAACAAAAGATACACTTGAGCGAAGGTCATTTCACCCATCTGCGCTTCTGGATGCTTGTAGTCAATGGTTCTACAGATCTCATTCAGCTGTTTCTTGTAGAAACCCAGGAACCCGGCTTCAACAGCATGGCTAGGTAGCCTGTTCTAGCTCCCCCAAAAAATTTTTTTAACTGCATTATTCTGACCACTCAATCATTTTCCATTCTTTTAACACCTGAGATGTGCAGAGTCTGTTTTATCCCTTTTAACATGTAAATCTAGCATCAGTGAGTCACTAAAGCGATGAACCCTTGTTTTAACACAGACAGTGCAAGAAATCTGTCCCTGACAAACTTTTTCCATAAGCATCTGTATGCAGTATGTGCAAGTTCTTGCATGACAATAAGCCAAGACTTTATGAAGATAAAAGCTCTGTATCTGCTCATGCTGCCATCTGGCAGTTCCTTAGTGTCGAAAGAGACGTGTGTGGCAGTAAATAATCTAAACAGAGACTAGCTCTGGTCCGCATCTCCTATCAGAAACATCATCCCAGCTCCCCCTTTCTGACGCGCTTGGGACACAGCACATTTCAAAACGAGAGTCGTTCAGGCGAAGCTCGTGCTTCCCTGGAAAGGCACCGTCACGGCCCCTGTGGATGACCCGGTAGATTAAATTGTCTTGTTTCCTGACTTGATTTCCAGAGACGTCAGCATCAGAGACCCCTGTGATACCGGCACTCAAGCAGCTGTTTCCTGACTCTATCTGGACAGGCGGCGCCGTCACAGAAGACCTCACGGCTACCCCGCGGCTCCACAGCCCGCAACAGTCACCCCTCGGGCTCCGGCTAAGGAGAAGCGGGTCAGACTGGTTTGCAGGAAGATCAACAAACAGTCCTGATGGCAAAACAAAACTTCTCCTCGCAAAGTCTCCTAAAAGATGGAGGGAAACCCCCTGCAAAATTTAAAAGCAAACAAACTGAGGGGAACAGAGAAGTAAATTTTAGCAAACTGCTCTGAATACTTCGGAAGATCTGATTAGGTGGATGCTGCACACTGGTGGTGGTGGAGGAGAGTCCCCATTACCTGTAAAGCGCTTTGAGTGGAGTGTCCAGAAAAGCGCTATATAAGTGTAAGCAATTATTATTATTATTATTATTATTACTACTGATTGCGGCACTTTAACCTGTAAAATGGTAGCCAAAAGAATTCACACCAGCGAATTCCTTATCATGCGTAACCTGACTGCATTGGCATTCAGTGCTCTCAAAACAAACCAATCTGATAGCCAGCCTTAGGAATGTCCAAATGTAGAACTGAAGGAAGTATAAAATAACTCTTAAACAAACCAAGGGGAATTATAAAAGAGAATAAGAGCATGACATTCAAATGAGATTTCCGTAACTGAATGGGCTCTCCATTTTGCAACCTGAACTGTCTGAAATTTCAAATCTAGCCAGAAACAGAGCACCCATGCAGCCTGCAGATAAGATTAGACTTTCTTTCCAGTTCATTTGGAGTAAACATGGAACAAATTCTCCCCTCAGAGCAAATGTGGCCCCATCCAGCTGTCTCGTGACCTGAATGCCGCTCGTCCTGTCCAAATCGTTTGGCCATGTCATGTTTCAAAATGAGAAACCAATTCTGTTAAAGAGCACTGATGCTATTTTTTTCTGAGAAATGAAATAAACATTTTAAAATACTTAAAGTTTCGTATTATCGATAGCACACTCTGCAACCTCTGCAATTTTGTGGAGCTAATAAGATACTCCCTCACTCATTCTCCTAATCCAGTATGTACCAATCCACAGTAATATGGTGAGGAGATGCAACCTTTGTTTTGCAACAACCACAGAAGGGTGGTTTGTAGTTACTAACATGAATCCCATTACTGCATTCAGGAAAGAAAAACCCAAAGGAGCCCTTGTAAAAGATCCTATAATTCCAAATTCAGTTGTCTTACAGTGGATGTTTCAGATCTTGCTTTGTTTCTTGACTATTAGCGATTTGTAATACAGACGCATAAAAAATTGAGTTTATAATTCCATGTAACATTGCTTGCCTGACCATTTTAAATCAAGATCTGCATCTGCCCTTCAGCACTGGCACGCTGGGGCCCTTATATTGGCGTCTTACAGCTTTAACCAGGGTTATTCAGAGCAGCGGAACTGTATCTTACTTTTGGTTTCCGTTACAACATAAAGCAGATCCATCTTCTCTGAAATCTCAGATTTTGACCTGCACATCTGGTCAATGAAACTTTCCACCAACCAATCAGATCGAGGACTGGAAAAAGCCTCCCTATTCATACAGTGAAACAGAAAAGGGGCAGTAATGCAATTCCTGTATGCCTTTCCGTGTAGAAATGTATATTGTCACAGCCTTTCTGCAGAGAATGGCATTGATAACATTATTCCATGCTGAAAAGGCATGGAATAAGCCTATTACTTGTTCCTTTGCAGCCTACGCATACTGATGCAGCTCCCCACCTGAATTACTGTACATTGATAACATTGGGCTGCTTGGCAGGAATGAAAA